AGCAGTGGTAGTAGGAGTAGCAGTAGCAGTAACAGTACCAAAAGCAGCAGAACCAGCAGAGCAGCAGTAGTTGTAGTAATGGTAGCAGCAGCAGCAGCAGCAGCAGCGGCAGCAGCAGCAACAGCAGCGGCAGCAGCAGCAGCAGCAGCAGCAGCAGCAGGAGTAGTAGTAGTAGTAGTAGTAGTAGTAGTAGTGGTGGTACTAGTAGTTGTTGTTGTTGTAGTAGTTTTTGTTGTAGCAGCAGCAGCAGCACTAGCAGAAACTTCGCCCTCGTCGGTGGTGTAGAAGCAGCTGGGCGCATGAGCAGCAAAAGCAGATGCTCTCCATAATCATCGTCAGCCAAGTGGCTTGTGTGAATCGTTATGTTCTGAGTGTTCTTGCTGCTGTGTTTCGACAACTACGTCCTGATAACCTTAGGTGTCATCGCTCTATGTCTGACAAAACGACAGACGTCGACAGATACCTGGAGAAGCACATGGTTCAATCGGGATTGTTTTCTCTAAGCCGTCACATCGCAGTAAGCTCCGGGCCGAGGACATGGGTCGCGCAGAGGTGCGGACAGAGCGGGCGGAGGACAAGGGCGTCTCCCGATGCCTGGCGAAGCCGGAAGCGCAAGGTGTTCGTTTCGCTCTTGGTCCTATGGGTCTGAAGAAATATCATACACAGCTTGTAGAACCAACGCGGAATCGTCAGCACTGCGATGTGCGCATCGCTTTCAGGATTTCGGACTTAAATCCGCATGCTAGGATGTAGGCCTCATGACAGCGAGCAATGAAAATGCGGAATGGTTTCGTGTGCACTTAAACCGCCGGACTAATAAAAGAGGGGGCAAGAGACGTTGCCTATCCATCCCAGCAAAAAGCATCGTCCGGCGACGTACGAAAACTGATAGGCTTCTACAAGGGAATGCGAATCCTATGTGCAATCAAGAGCTTTGCCAGTGCAAGCATTGTATGTGCAAAGACTCATGGGGTGGAGTTTTGCTTTTGGCCTTGTCTTGTTTTTCGTTGTTGGTCTTTTTTGGTGCTTCGTGAACACCGCACTTATGCTTGCCCCCCCTTGGCTCGCCAAAAACTGCTACGATTCAAGGTTTCCGCAAGCAAGGGTGGTCCGCATCGCTACAACGAGTCACGCCTGCAGCACGTAGAACCCTCCGTAACTGACGAAAAAAATGCACCGACCACAGCGAGAGACTTGAGCAGGGAGCATCCTGTGTAAATAATACGTAGGACGCACAGACCAGATTTGCACCATGGGCTGTAAATAATGGGATGCCTTGAGTTGGCAAACGCACGAAAGCGAGAACCACCAGCCAATAAAAAAACACCAGAAAGACTAAAATGAAAAAAAAAGGTCTCCAAATTCAAAAGTTTCGTGTATATCTGTATAAATATATTAGTGGATATATATATATATATGTGCATACAAACACAATAGATGTATGCATATATGTTATGGTGTATGTATGTGCACGGAACACAAACGGAAATGTCAGTACGAATCTAAGTACACAGAGACATGTACATATGTATAAAGATGTACACAGGTACGTACATATTATGTACATATTTATTTGGCAGCCTATAAACAGATAGATAGATAGATAGATAGACAGATAGATGGAAAGTAGTCGGTTGAATTGTCTATATGGGCTCTCAGAGACAAAGAGATCGCAACAGTCAACGGTGAACAGTCCGACAACTTCGCCGACAACACCTTTGACTCGCAAGCGAATCTGGCAACATAAACCCTAACTGCGCCAGCAATTCGACAGAACGTGGGGTGAATGAAGCCTCGTCCTCAACAGCATTCTTCAGAGTCATTCGCACGAGTTGGCCAGAGCATGCTGAAATGGCCTAAATTCGCACGTACATTGCATGTAGGTCACAAACCGCAGTCAAAGGACCGTCCTCCTACTGCCGTGCACATTGCCAACTGCAGCATTCAAAGCCCAAAACATCCGAGAGCGCAGCAAACGCCCTGTGGCCGTCAAGACCTCTTCACGCCGATGCCTCGACTGAATTCTGGATGTGGTGCCGGATACATCCGCAAACTACACTTTCTCGAGCCACCCGAAAAGCTGCTTTGGGGTTAAATGTACCGACGAACGAAATCGCTGCGTGCGTCCTGATTCGCATTGGTCCCCCACCACAGGTTGCAGTTCACAAGCGATCTAGCGGAAAGCCGTGGGGTGTGCCCTCAATGCGGCTGTTGACAAAAACATGCATCTCTGACTTTCCGCGCCTTCTACTTTTTGTGTCTTCTCCAGGTGTCAAGTCGCGGGTGCACAGATACACATACTACCTATATATATATATATACAAGTATAAGTATGTATCTATGTATTTATTACATGTATATATATATATACATATATATGTATGTATGTATGTATCTGTGTATGTATGTTAAAGGTATATATACACACACAGAGACATGTATATGTACATAGCGAGAGAGAGCGGGAGAGAGAGAGAGAGAGACACAGAGACACAGAGACGCAAAAATGCAGAGGACACAAAGACTCACAAGACACAAAGACACAGACACTGAGACACAAAGATGCAGAGACCAAAGACAAAGACTCAGACAGAGACACAGAGATGCAAAGGTGCAGGGATGCAGAGACACAAAGGCTCAAAGACACAGAATGACGTAGAGACGCGAAGATGCAGAGATGCCGAGACACAAAGATCCAGAGACACAGAGACACAAGACGCAAAATTGCAGGCATGCAGAGAACACAGAGACTCAAAGACACAGAGGTGCAAAGATGCAAAGAAAAAAAACTCAAAGACACAGAGACCAGAGACGCAAAGCTGCAGAGATGCCGAGAAACAAAGACTCAAAGACACAGAGACGC